GCGGCCCGGCGGGGGGCCCCCTCCCCCCCCCCCCCCCCCCCCCCCAGAGGAGTCCTTCATCACACTGCCCAGCTGTTCCTGGGATTCCTTCTCCACGCCACCCCAGAAGAGTCTTTCTCTGTGCCACTTGGCTCTTCTTGGAGTCCTTCATCGCACTCTCCTGGAGGTATCCTTCACCACCCTTCTTTAGGGGGTTGTTCACTGTCTGACTCTTTTGGTTTCTTCGTCACCTGGGGGTTTTTTTGAGTGCTTTACCACGCGGCTCTGGAGGTGTCCTTCAGCATCCAGGTTTTCTGGGAGCACTTACCTGCTTGGCTTTCTCAGAGGCTTCCACCATATGGCTCTTTTTGGGGTGTTTCACCCCATGGATTTTTTTCTTGGTTTCTGCAATGTGTGGTGTATACTGGAGAGCTTAACGGCGTTGTCCTGGAGCAGTGCTTCACCAGCTGGCTGTTCTGGAACACTTCAGTAGCTGGCTTTTATTGGTGTGCTTCAACGCGCAGCCCTGTTGTAGCTGTTCAGTGCCTTGCTGTCTGGAGCACTTCAGTGCATGTCTTTTTTGGAGCTCTCCACCGCCCAGTTGTTTTCAGCGCAGATGATACCGAGTGTTTGGAATGGGGTAGCCCAAGCATCCAGCAAGGGTCACAGCCCTGCCGACACAGGGAGTGATGGAGAATGCAGATGGCAGAAGTGTTGGTGAAGTGCCTAGGTGCCTGAGTGATGAAAGCTGAAGCACCTGTTGCTACTTGTGGGAGGTATGGGAATCCTCGGAATATCTGCATGCCTCTGTCACCAAGGTGGCTGGTGCAGTTTTCAGGGCTGTGCAGAAGGCATGTGATGCTGTGCTGCAGAGGCAGCAGCTGGAGGGTGCTATTGCCACAGGAAAGGCTGCCAGGCTCAGAGAAGAAGGAGCAGTTAAGCCTGAGCTCCTGAGTGAGTCAGTCAGTCAGTCCTCAAGGAAATTTCATGTCCTGGCTATTTTGACCAACCCTGGCCTGGAGTCTTGCAGGTCATCCTCCTTTGGTAGAGGGACGATGTTTGGAGTTTCTTTTCCTGCTATTGCTTTATTGAAATACATACTTTTTTTTCTCAGTGCCTGTTGCTGAGATTAACTGCTTTTTCTTCTCTTATTTCTCTCGTAGCTGTTTGAGGTCACCATTTTGGTTTCCAGTTACACCTGTTGTTTTTCAGAGAGCCAGTGTGAAGGAGCAGAGACTGGATTTTACCTGCAGTTATCCCTGGAGGAGCTGCTGCAGAAGGAAGCCAGCCTATGGTTTTGGGAGCTGTGCCACAGGACAGCTGAGCAGAAATCTGGCCTGATAGCACTGCATTTTTGCTTTTGGCAATAAAGATTGGAGCAAGCCACAACTGAGACATGGTGGCATCTGGTTTATTTGCTGCATGGTTATCTAAACCCTGCTAACAGCTCTCAGGAGGATACCTCGCCCCCACCTGCTCCTCATCCTTGACACATCCCACAGCTCTTGCATGGTGAAGTCCGTATTGCTGCTGTGGCAGTGGAGCTAATAGTGGGCAGCTGGCGACCACAGAGGTGTTGCTGCAGTTTTTACTGCATTCCAGTGGGTAAGTGTTTGTGCTGGACGTAGCTGCTTCTCTGCGACAGATGCTGCCTTTGTCCCAGCTTGCGCTTTTCTTTCTCTGTTTAAGCATGGCTCTTGCAAGCAGAGCTCTAGGTAGGTGCAGTCCGTGTTCAATTTCCTCACTAAATGTTGCCATTCAATGTAGGTGAGAAAGTGCTTCTGCAGGGAGGGGCCAGGCAGGAGGCAGCAGGGTAGCCCCCACCTGACAGGAAGCCAAGGGAGCACCTGTTAGCACCCATGCTCCCTAGCCTGAGTTGTGTGGGTACAAAAAAGCCTTCCTGTTCTTTTTTCCCTGCACAACTCACTTAAGCTATAGGGAGTGTGGGGTTTGGTCCCCTCTCTTGGCTGCTCTGGCTGGACCGTGGCCTGCCTGCTCCCTGAGGAAGCCACTCGGGTCAGGGCCTGTCCCCACTGCACACTTCTGCACTTAAAGGGAGTTTTAAAGTGACTGTAAGAGTCTTTTAAATTCTCCATTTAAGTGCAGTCATGGGTGGCACGCAGGCCCTGGCTGATGGAGGGTGCCATACCTTGTCACTCCCTAGCTGAAATGTGTTCTGTGGGGACAAAAAAGCTCCATGGGGTTTCTGTCCCCATGCAAGTCCCTTGGGCTTGCTGCCCTGGGCTCCTGGTCGCTAGAGATCAGTTTAGGAGCAGGCATTGGTCCCTGAAAGTGAAGCCCGTGACCAGTTTTGGGCTGTTTGGAATTGGTGCAGGCACAGGCTAAGGGTGATGTGACTGTTTGGCTGCTCTGACTAGGGAACGGGACTGCTGCCCTTCCTCAGTGGAAATCCCCCTCTTTCTGGGGATGCTGGTCACAACAAATGCAATTGAGGGCAAAGCACAGTTTTTTCTCCTGCCCTATCCAGTCCTTCAGGCTGAAACACTGCTGCTGGGAAGACCTCAAAATGTCAAAATACAGCAATGTTGCGGACCCCAAAACCTAAATCCGCAATAGGGGCTCTGGCAGCTGCTGCTTTACTACCCTTCACAGAGACAGGGATGCAGTGATGGCTGAGAACACGGGGCAGGCTGGGCCAGAAGAGCTCTCCTGGAGCTCTCAAAGTGATTTCCAGAATTTTAAAGCAATTCTTTCCCCCAGTTTTTGCTTGGTACTATATTGCTTGGTGGGGGTGCTTTTTTTTTTTTTAATAACTCAGCCTGAGATGGATTTCCAGGTGTGGAAAATTGTCAGTTGTTTGGCTTTGTTGCACCAAGAAAAGTCTAGGAAAAATAGGTGGAAGGAGTAGTGTGACACTAATAACAGGTAGTAGTGCTAGCTAATCCCCAATAACTAGTACAGGTTTCAGAAGATAAATATGGGTGTATAGTTTCAGAAGAAACCATGAGATTTCGGGAGAAATTACAAGATTAAGCCTCTTGATGATGAAATATTGTAACTCTCTGGTCCTTTGAATTTCTTTGGCAGGCTGGGAAACAAATGGCTTTACTACTTATCCCTATTCAAAAATGTCATTTTGAAGAATGATTTCAGTAATTGTTTTGCCTAACAGAGCAAATTATGAGATCCTCTCCAATGTATATTTTTTAAAAGCAGCGAACAATGAGAGGATTTGAGCACTTCCATGGATTTGAATATCCTTTTGCCATTAAATTTAATTGGTCAGCCTGGTAGTTCTTATTTAGCAGAAAAGGGATAATTTACATTGGTCACTTAGGTAGGAAAATTATGGCTGAGGGAAAAATATAAAAAAAATAATTCACAACACTGATCTTGACTCCGTGTTTACTGTTTTATTAGCAGGATTTGCTGCTCACTTTAAATTCATGAATAGACAAATTATTTACAAAAGCCACATACTTTAAAACAGGAAGCATTTGTCATCACGATAGAAAAGACTTGATTTCAATACACAAAAATCCATGATATCTTATGTATAGTTTCAATCAGTAGGTATTACTGCTACTGTCACCTGCTTTATCACGATTATCAGTTAAGAAACACCTGTCCTGGAGTTGCACAAAATCAGAATAGTAAAAACAGCACCGGGGGGAGGCAATGCAGAATTCATCTTGAGTTGTTGCCTCACGTTTGACCAGACAATGAGCTACTCAACTCAACCAGTGACTAGCTTGCTGAAGCCTAGAGTCTGTCTCCATTGCTTGCAGGAAGACAGATCATCTCAAGATCTTTATGCTATTTTGGCCCTACTTGTACTATTTTGAAGGTGTATGCAGACTTGGTAAGATGTCTAGGCCCGGTTCAGCAGGGTGGATTTTTTCCCACTAACATCCTATACTTTTATATGGGTCCCACTGAAAAACAAGTTGAAACGCATGAAATTGCGTCTGAACATAAGAAAACACTTTTTAACTGCAAGGGCTGTTAACACTGGTACGGGTGGTCCAGGGAGGCTGTGGTGTCTCCATCCCTGGAGTCAGTCAAAACCCAACTGGACACAATCCTGGGCAACCTGTTATAGCTGACGCTGCTGGAGTAGAGGCCTAGAGTTGGGGGAAGGGAACAGGTCCCTTCAATATGTAGCTGTGCCATTTCCAAATACATAATGAAAGAGTAACACTCTACATAAACTACAGAGTGGAATATTGATTCTTAAACAACATTCTTAAACAAGGTGTCACAGGAAGAGACTTGAGGTTTTCACTAGGCCATGAAGCAGTATTTAGCTTTTTAGAGAATGTGCCTTTCCTAAGAGTATGCTGCACATTGGACAATAGAAAGCTGGTGGTCTGTAGACTTCAAGGAGCTTCATCATGAGGAGTAAACTGAGAGCATGAAGACTGACATGAAGCATAATGGGCTTTTTGCCATCCTTCCTCTTGTGAGCAGAAGGAAAAGGACACTAAAGAGCTTAAAGGTACAAATGATAAGCTCGAAGGGGTTAAGAGATTTCTCTGAAGAAGAAACAAAGAAGCATCATTGCTAGGATCAGCAATCAACTCTTCCATCATTATAATATGTTTCAATGCATTCATAGACTTTTTTGTTCATCTTAACTCTAAAATGAGTGTCTACATCTGAAGTTTACAGATGGGTGAACTGAAGCACAGCATCAGTCTGAGTCATGGGATTATACAGCAGTCCAGTGAAAAGAGTTCTGGTGGAAATGCATGGGAGGCTGCTTTTTAAGGCCTCTCACCAATGGTGGATATTCCCACAGACAAGGGAGAAGCTTCTGAGGAGGCATTGTTTCCTTTTTACCCCCTCTTCAAAATATGGGAGATTAGAACTGCAGAAAATTTATTTCAGTTTTATGCAGTCTACTTCCTCTGTGACCGGCATTGCACTTGTTCTCAGGTCTAAATCTGTGCTAGATTTGCTTCCATTATATGTTGATCTCCATCTGAGCAACATGATCTTCTTGAAGTATTTCATGGTGTTATTTTTTACAGTTACAAAACACATGGTGTTTATCATGCTGTTACTCATAGCAATGCATTCAACTATGTAAAAAGCAGTAAGATAATGCTTCTCTTTCACAAAGATGGTGGGGAAAAAGTCACGGACAATTGTGAAGCCGTAGAAAGGTGCCCAGCAGAGAACATAGGCAATCAGGATGCACATCAGTACCATAACAGTTTTTCTTCTGCATCGAAGTCTCTTTCTGATCTGTTCCGTCTGAAATCCTGGTACAGTTTTAAACCAAAGCTCCCGAGAGATCCTGGCATAACACAAGGTCATTGTCATCACAGGTGCAACAAATTCAATGCCAAAGATGAAAAGGAAGTATGATTTGTAGTACATCTGCTGGTCAACCGGCCAAATTTGACCACAGAAAATTTTCTCTTGGTTTTTCACTATAAATAACACCGTTTCAGTAGCAAAGTATGCAGATGGGATAGCTACAAGTATGGAGACAATCCAGACCAAGGCAATTAAGAAGGTTGCTGTTTGATAATTCATGCGTGGTTTCAGTGGGTGAACAATGGCCAGATACCTGGAACAGACAAATACATTCAAAATTAAGTCTGAAAACACTATTAGTCAGAACATACTTCAAAATACAAGTGGACAGAATTAGGCAGAAGGAAATTGCTGTCATTTTTAAAGAGAGACCCTGACAAATTTGTCTATGAGGAGAGTTAAGAAAATTTTCCAAAGTAGCAGCCCAGAGCCGAGTTCCTAAATCTAAGCAGAAACTCTGAGGTGAATGGCTGAAGGGTTTTTTAGGACAGTGGGTACTTTGCAATCTGAAAATCTGAGCATATGTTAGGGTGTCTGACGATGGATGGTTTTAAGACCTCAGTCTTAAACTCCTGCCTGTTAACAAGATCAAACTGAAACAGTTACCATTTTGTATCACAAACCCTTTAAGGCAGACCACATGTCTGGCAGTTACCAAAAGACTGGAAGAGGAGAAAGAGAGGGAATATTGTTTGCAGGACCTAGCACAATACACAGGTGATGTCGTATCTAGGTTATGCCATGATACAGCATTTGGAAATGCTTTGGTGGACAGCACATGTTAAAGTGAGACTTTGAAACATGCAGTAATATACACCTAGTTAGGTGCAGGTAAAAAGACAAACATGTAGAAACATGAAAATGTTTTCCCTAGGCAGAGAAATATTTAAATATGCTTTTTTTACCAGGAGGTCAAATATACATAATGGTGTTTTTATTATTTTCTTGGTTATTCCATGGGGTATAAAGAGCTGAAGCTGATGCTGATGAATGGTTACAGGTGAGCATGTTTTCAAGACACCAACAAAAGACTGTGTATCCATTTTCTGCCCATGTACATTTTTGTTTCATCTGCTGCAGGTGACTATTGCTAATTAATCTTAAATATGCTGTGTTAAGTAACATACCAAACCATAAAACTTGAGTTATGTATTTGCACTCCTTATGACTGTAAAGCTGCAAGGTGTACCGTAGTGTTCCACAAAGAAGTGTGGAGAAATGGAAGTACATTGCTCGCAAGATTCATCAGTTGCCCTCGATTCAGTTAAAAAGGGGCTAGGACCAAATGGCATTCACACTGGGTTTTTTTGTTTGGTTGGAGTTTGGAGGTGTTGATTTTTCAAGAAGCTATAGATGTAAGAAGAGCTTACATTAGAGTACACTGTCCCAGAAAGATTAGGATATTTCTGCTAAAAGGAGATTTTTATCACAGACACTCTAGAGCTCCCAGTACAATTGTATTTAACCAAAAGGATTGTTTCAAAAAGTGGCATTTCTCATTCATTCAGAAGCTTTTCTATCTGTATATATTCTATACATTGATAGCATCCACAGGATATATTCATTCTAAAATAAAATGGAAAGTCAGTAGTGCTTTTCATCAGCCAGATCTTGGAAGCAGATGAATTGTTCATCACTCTTAATAGTGCAGGTTAAATGTCAAGGGACAGCAGAATTAGTCAGCCTCATTGTGGAGCTGATAAATTAATATTTTTAGATCAGGTTCTGTGGAAACAAGGTTGTAGGATAATGTTTGTGTATGCATTTATAAGTATTCATATCCGCTCAGCAGAACATTTGTCTGCATGGGGTAAATCTCTCCAACAGAGTCAGGAGGGAGCTTTTGTGGTGGATTTCCTGATTCTCATTGCTTACCACGCTTGGGCTGTTACTGTGGAGTGGTCCTGGAGCACGTGAACTGAGTTCAGATGAAACTGCCCAGGAAGATGTGCTCCAAAAGTGTACATAAAACACACCAAGTGCCCGTGGGCATTCAGTCCAGTGCACCCAGATAAAGCTAAACCCCCCCAAAATATTTATGTCATGGACATTGGACCCTTAGCATGAACTCTTGCTCTTCGGATCCTCTCCTTTCACGTTACATTATTTTCTAGCATAGATGTGGCCTTAAATATGTGAAATTCCTATGTTTCATGTGAATAGACATCAAGGAAGATGAAAGAGAATCCTACCTGAGGGAAATCCTGTGGGACAGGCTTACCCTCTCTACACAGGTGAGCCCTTTTAAATGATCTAAACATGGGAAGACTGTTGGGAGCCTATTCTTTTTTGAGACAGAAGTCAATGACCCACATGACATAACAACCATGGAATGGTTGATTGTTAAACGAACGAGGTGTCTCTCTGTTTACTAGTTCAAAAGCTCACAAAAAAAGGCAGTGAAACCAAAACAGTGTGTTCTTCCAACAAACTTCAGTGATTAATCATTTCCAGAATTGTTTTTAAAAGATGCATGGGGAGATATGCTAGAAATCTTCTGATTTCTTAGCAGGCCTAAGGGCTCAATGACCCATGTTACTTCATCAACCTGGGATGCACTAGCAGAGCTTTCCAAGAAAATTTTTTAGAAGTTGAAAAAGATAAGTAATAGAAAATGGTAATGCATACATGATCGTGTTTAGAAGCTTAATCCCGAGCCCTCAGCTGCTGTTCAAAGGTTATTTTTGTTAGACACTTGTTAAGGATTTGTTTCATAGGAACTGATTGTCCTTTCCCCCACACCAGGCAAAACATCTCTGAACTTCCCCAGAGTCCTTCCACAGACTTCTGTTGACATCAATAACAGCTGAATCAGCTGCACACAAGCTGTATCTATAAAACCATCAGCAGGGTTAACTGCTTCTGAGCTGTCTTTTGGATCACGTACCAAAAACTATGCAACATTAGACTGGAGCATAAAATGACACACAAGAGAAATTAGAAAAAAAAAGAGAAACAGGGGAATCATACAGTGTACATATGCAGAGGGTGTAGAGAGGTGTATATTGTGTTTGTTCACAAAAGATGACTTGTTGTGATGGCCTTTCTGTAAAGAGTTTACTCCGTGGGTCTTTTGGCTTTCTGTGAGTCAGTCATGTCAGCCTTATGTCAGCATGAAGCTGATCCTCAGCACCTGGGTCCATCAGAGTCCGTGGTGCACGAGGCTAAGAGAACAGGAGTCATAAGAAAGAATACAACTAAATTATATTGTTAAAATTCCTGGAGTGAGAGTGGGCATAGAAATATCTCAAGACTGCAGCATAAAGCAGGTAGTATAGCAGGTGAATATTGTGTTCTGCTTACGCCATTATGAAGGCTGTAGGAAAATCTCTGCTAAACTGGGTTGGTGTAGCATTTTGTCATTTTCTGGACAGTGCCATAAATATGGGTGCTATAAATGACCTGTGGGTCTTTCCTGGCTTGCCACTGTGCCATTCTCAGAGAGGCATGTAAAGAGAGAGAAGAGTATGGGAGGAGAGTGTTTTCACGGAGAGGAGAGTGCTGGCCACGCTCACCGAGCATCCATGTCTGGGTTGGAGCATCCAGCTAAGACCTCAGTACTATCAAACAGTTAATTTAATGATTGTTGGGTTTTCTCAGTATGGCACGACAGAGAATAAGAATGCTATTTTGCAGGCTAAACAGAAGTCTTATCTTTTACTCTCTTTCACACCAAAACAAAACCTGGGAAAAACACCTTAGAGGGAGAAAGCAATATCCTGTAAGGCAATAACCCTGTTGGAAACTCACCTGTCAAATTCTGTATCACCAGTCAACTGTTTCTGTTGCTAAAGACTATTTAGTTCACTGTTTATAGAAAAGGTTAGACTCAGAAAAGCTGTGTAGGCCAGTAGTGAAGGTTCCTTAGAGATGTATAGTTTGGTTCAGGATTATGTAGTATGGATGAACACCCTTGTCTCTGGGTGTTTCTGATTTGCTTCTCTCTTCCTCCTCTTTCCCTTATTTCATAAATCGTCTCCTACACTTGAATGAAGCATGTTTTTATGAGAAAAAAAAATGTTTTACTCAATCAACATTCTTTTCACCTCAAAAGTTCAATCAAGAAATTTCCACTAAGTTTTCACTGGGGTAATGTCATGACCCCATGTGATTAAATTTTTATGAAACAAGATACCCAGGTCTGTGTGGTACCTACCTGGACATCAGCAAATCCTGCAGAACAGCTGAGGATGTTAAAAACCTAGAAATCTGAACAGCCAACCTCAGAAGCTCTGGCCATCTCGTGCAGCCATAGCACCCTACTTACCTGTCAACAGCTATAGCCAGGAGAGCATTGGTAGAAACATAGAGGGAGACGGTCCGTAGGTAGTTGACTGAGGCACAGAGGACATGGCCATGCTCCCAGGACAGTTGCCGCACCACGTAGTAGTCCATCTCAAAGGGGCAGCACACGATAGCCACAATGAAGTCTGAGATGGCCAGGTTGGCAATCAGCAGGTTGGTGAGGTTTCGTAGCTTCTTGTAGCGGGCGAGAGCAGCAATGAAGATGAAGTTGCCGATGCCACAGACCAGCATGATGCCAACCAGAGCCACCCCGATCACAATCTTGGCTGCAAAGAAGGTGCGGGTTTTGGTCATGTCGTCTTCGCTGTCCAGTGGCAGGTCGTAATCGCTGTAACTGAAATTGAAAGGGAAGGAGAAGTTTCGCAAGGAGGTTAAATCCCCATTGTGGAGATTGTAGATTGCAGCAAAGTTGAGGTTGACAGTAGCATTTGGGTTATGCTCTGCTTGCTCCATGGCCATGTCTGTCTTCTTTTGACACGTGTGGCTTGGCTGGCCCTTAGTTTTGTGTTAGAATTACCCAGTATGGCAGGGCACGACAGTGGCAGGCGAGAGACCTCATCCAAAGTTTCCTTTTGAGCAGTGAGTCACCTTGTCTTCATCCCCATAAGATTATAGAGCAACAGCCTCATTTATCTCCCTCTGTGGGAATAAAAAGAGCAAAAAATGTCCGTAGAGGAAATTACAGCAAAAATACTGTGCTTGAGGGAAAGCAATAGCCACCTTGTTGCCCCACAGCTCTATTGTTGGCTGTGCACAGTGGGAGGAAGTACCCTGTGAAAGGATGCTTCTGTTATCATAAAAGCTATTGAGTTGCATAATACACTTGTTACACCCAGCAGTTTTATTTACCAACGATGAAATTTTGTTTTCAGCACACAGTGAAATGACAATATAGGAAGATTGTAAAATCCAGTTTAAACCTCCGCCAGCCTTCGAGCTGACAGTGCTGTCATCCCTGTGCAAGGTAAAAAAACTAAAATGAGACGACAGCTCAGTTTGCTGAAAAGTATCTGATGTGCCTTTTAGACAAAGTTTTTGCTTTATTCTAAGTGTCTCAGTCAGAGAGATGTGGTAGGTGAGAAAGGAAAGAGCCTGATGTCCTGGATTCTAAATACATTTCTTAATTAAGTAAGAGTTGCCAAGACCCAAGAAAATAATGAAGCCAGCACTTTCCTTTTGGCAGCCATTAATTGAGTAGGGGGGACCAAATTGTCAGCCAGCATAATCCATTATTGCTTCTCGAAAACCAGTAGAACTCTCCCAATTTGCATACACAAGACTTTGTCCCACGAACCAGTTTGTAGGGCTTTGCTGTGAAGGCAAATCTGCTGTTCACAGGGAGAGTGCTTCCACAAACAGGCTCTTGAGGTGAAAGGGAAAATCTTCCTTAAGCAAGACAAAGTGCCTTGAATTTTTGAAGACAGGGAGGAGCAGGCTTCCTTCTTTGTACGGCCAGTTGTACCAAATGTTAAAAATTGATTTATTTTCCACACTGAGGGAAAAAATCTAATCTACTCCCTAATTTTGCCTCTACTCTATATCAAAATGCTGAGAGGCCTGTCTTCTTGCATCTTCCTGTGCCACATCTGGGAATGCTCACACCACACTCCCAGCTGTCAGGACAGTCCCACCCCATCCCAGAAGAGAATCGGGGGGCATTGCCGCTTTTTCTGCTTTGAGAGGGTAGGTCTTCAGGGTGTCAAATGCCATTGAACAATGTCCATCATGACTACAAAGGACAATCTGCATAGTGGAGCTGTTGCTCCCTTCTTTCCCTAGAACCACCCTCAGCCCCTGATGTACCAACACTTAATAAATTTCTGAGAGAAACTCCCTTGCACAACTTCTGTCTCCACATTGCTTTTCAAACAGAGTTGCAGAACAACAGAATAACAGAAAGCCAAAGCCTGAAACTAAATATCAGTTCATACAATTGACTGCTTTACAAGGCATCCCCACAGCCGCCTGGACATGTGAACATTCATTTAAGAGTTAAGTACTAAATAAATACTTGGATGCAAAATGTGTATGCTGGTCAAAGCAAGGTGCAGTATCTGTTTCAGACAGGTTTCCCTGCAAAATACCAAGAGAGCGCTTTAAAATAAATACAGACAACACAACCATCCACAAACTGACATAACATTATCAGCTAACTGTACCTCTCATCTTCTTGGAGGTCTCAGGCACCCTGTGAATAATAGCCTCCAGGTTTTTCCCCTGCAAATGTGCTGCTGTCACTGGAGCAGAGAAAGGATCAATGAAAGCAGTCAGAGGACTTCGCTGAATGATCATTTCTCTCCCAAGCAGGTTTGCCCTGCTGCTCGGGGAGGATGGGTCTGCTGTCTCTGTGCATGCATCTAAAGCCTTTTCTCAGTGGGAGGCACCTTGAAGCTGTCCATGCATTTCTGATTTTAAAGAGGCAGTGCAATACGGAGACAATAGAGCACAGCCCCCCCCCTCCCCCCCCC